GGGTTTTCAATTTTTGAAATGTTTTCGTCTTAAAATATCACTTTTCTTCAACTAATATACCGGAAACGTATTCTATCATTTTGGGCTGCGTTTATGTAAGATATTTCAGCCCCAAAATGTGTTATTTGTACATTTGTTTAAGATAAATAAATATTTATCTAAATAACCAATTTTGGAACATTTTTCTTGTTAGATCAACGTAACGCACTTAGAATTCACTCAGATGTAAAAAGTAACTCATTACAGACATTATGCAGTAATGGTGTTGCAAACTTTTTAGTTTTTCCTAGAATTTGCACCGATTTCCATTTACTTCAATGTCGCAAAGTTACCATCAATCCGCCGGCGTGTCAAATGCGCCGACTACTGACCTGAAGTATTACTGCAGCAACACCAAGGATGACTGCAACGTTTACGAATCCCGCTAGGCGTCCTCATTGGCACGTGGCATAACCGTTCCTACTACACTACATGTGTTATACACTGTACATGTACATATACAAGATACACATTAATTTTGAAGCAAATTCGACCCCCGTCATATTTTCTGAGCCAATTAACGAAACTTTGAGACAATGAAAAGACGACAAATCACCAGAAAGTGTTGAGGATTTTATTGGAAAGGTCGGTCTGCACCTCTTGTTTGCACATTCACATGCAACGTTGAGAAATAGGAGCACACAAAAGTAGGGCTGTTAGCTGCGCATCCCACAGGCATTATTAACCTTCTCCCTGCTGCCTTACCACGTAATCAATACAAATCCGGTGCCAAACGGCTACATTAGCTGGCTGAGGGTTAAATGGGAGAGTGGTGCGGGCATATAAAACAAGAGAAGCCATTGCAGCTTCCATATGTAACACTGAGCATCTTAAACTTTTGAAAATGTTAGAAATTTTGAACCGTTAGAAGTCGAAAATTTCTTGGACAAAATATCTTAAACAGAAATAAAGATTATGAAGAGTATCTTCCTATAAGGTTTTAAAATGTGCTACAAAGACTACCATTTCTAGGTATCATTTGGACATAAGCCTGAAAAAATCTTTGAAAGCTCTGAAAAGTTCTAAAAGCCTTAGAACGATATATATTACAAAATAAGCATAGAGAAAATCATAATTTCACAAATGATATGTTTACCTTGACAGCAAAGAGCATATAATGTGTAAAATATCATCAAAGCAAACTAAATCAAGTCTTTGCTATCTCAACTGTCCCTAAAACCTTGTAATTTCAAATGTCGAATTCCTTGCTTTGAAATTTCCATGAAATGTTTCCCCTTAACATGTTAACTTTCTGGTCTGCACAACACTTTTTTACAGCATAATTATGTATGACTTGGCTTGTCTACTGTGGGATACAAAAGCAGCCGAACAACACAACTTATTATTTGCTGCTGTTCCAATATGGAAGACCTATGTACAAAATGTATATATTACAGTTCTTAACCCTTTTTCATGTTGATGCAATTTTTTGACCATCGACGTTGCATCAAAAGAGTAATACAAAACCACCACGGTATCAAACCAATGGAAAAACGACGGTTTAAATATCGCTTGTCTTTCTTGTAGACGGCTCGAAATAACCACCAACAACCTGCAACTTGCTGAAGAAACTTTTGATTGCGGGTTAAGAAATATCACATTTTTGCAAGTGGTAGCAGAGTGCCAAAACTTGTCAATAAGTGTTAGTGGTTTGCAAAGAGTAGTGTCTAACAAAACCATAACTTTGTGGAACTTTTGAGCTTCTGAAAAACCATGTACATTTACATGAGAGCTACAAAAGATGGCAGAAGTGTAGGAGCACCAGCTTGGATATTCAGTCAAAGCTGCCCAAGAAGACCGATAAATTCTGGTCTATGTGGACAGGTGGTCGCTGTAGACATTTTTAATGCTGGTCTCAATGGGAAAAGCATCTATGAGACCACTAAAATGTGGTGGCCTGGTGGTCCTTTTATACAGGTGGTCGCTTCTACAGTACAGAGATTCACCTGAATGCATAAATTTAAAGTTTTTCCGAACTGCAATATTGCAGGTTGAAGGTAAAAAGTATTTCTGGCCTCACATACGCACGCTTGTCATGCACAATCACAACAACAAGGCCACAGAACAACGTAGCTACACAAGCTTTTAACAAGCTCTGATGTCCCTGCTGTTTCAAAGGAAACACCCCTATTCAAAGTGGTACATCCTGAATCTCTTAGCATGGCAGACCAGTTGTGGAATGTACCATTTTGTTTACAGGGTGACCTTTTTGTATCAGTGGAATGAGCCGTCAATCATGTACATTACACGTAAAAAGCACTGAAAGTTTTGATAGAAATCTGAAACAGGGCCAAACTTTGCAGAACAAAAGTTTAAATAAACATATTACATTAACATTAATATTACTCTAGTCCAGTCAAATTTGTACAGACACTACACACTCAAAATAATAACAAATTATCTCTATGACTAAATAAAGTAGTAACACCCATAAAGATATTACTGGTATAGCATGGTTCTTAAATAACAAGTGACAAGAAATGTGAAAATGCTTTCTAAATCTAACATGATCAGTGTTCACTCTGGAATGAGGGTATTCAGTTTAATATTGAACGTTAGTCTTATTATATGAAGGAGTTATAGTAACATGTAATATGATGGTCATTCCACAGCCACAGCAGAGACAGGGGAGCTTTTGTCTGTACAAGCGAGCAGATCAGAACGGCCCCTGGACCCGAGAAAGACATCTGAGGACACACAGACTTCATCTTATGGAGGACATCCACGTGGCCTTTTCATTTTTTTTCTGGTGGACAAACAAGAGTTATTGTTCCCTTTGAAAGATGGGCACTGATATGCAACAGGAATTTGATGACTAATTACATAGTTGTTTGAGAATTCCTGAACTACTAGTATTAGTGCGATTCCGAAAAAAAAAAAGCCTTGAAAACTATGTTTTGTGTACAACATATTACGTAGAAACATAATACATCATGTATGCTTTTAATAATCTTGTTTAAACTGTTAGGAATGATTTTTTCAGTCAATTTTACACGCATTTTCAGTGTCACTTAATTATCAACATTTAGAAATGCTATTTCTCAAAATCGATCTTACAATTTTCTCACTCTTGCATTAGATTTGTGGTCCAGAATGGATGTCATCCATAAAATTGTGTTTGTGTGGCCTTTTTTCTAATGAGATTGGAGGTGTAGCTGCCATATCCCAGTCAGTACTCTCCATGTGTTTTCCTTATTTACAACGTCGCACACACACATGGGGGGGAGGGGGGCGGCGGAAGGAATACGTCGGGCAAACCCCGGTCTTGTCCCAGTTTTCGTTTACACAATCATTGCCTTGTCCTTATCTACATACACATTAGGCCACACTGATTCATTTTGATGTTTCTCAGACATTTCTTAGAAAAAATTCAGAAAAGGAAATAAAAAGATACCAGTATAAGGGCTAGGAGCAACTCGTATCCGACAATATTCACTCCCTAAAATTTATTGTACCTACATGTATAGACTTTCCCCAAAGACTCAATTTTCGTGTGAAATTTCTCTTCAGCATATATTACTTTTGGTAAAGATCTGAGAACCAACAAATTAAATTGGTGTGGCCATACTTGTCCTCCTCCCAACCTGACTTATGTACTACATTCTTGTCTATCACTTTTGTCAGACTTTTGCGTACGCGGCAGAAATTTGCAAAACTTGCACATACTGGAATGGAACAGGCTGACATTGCATTGCTGGAATGTAGTATTGTTGATATGACTTGTGAATTCTCGACTTGGCAAAAAGAAATACTGCTGCATTGATACTTGCATCGAAATTCATCGATATGCACACATGCAAAAGGTGCTCTTCGCATTTTCTTGTCGCATTTTCAGTTAACCGTTACATTTTTTGACTCATGGTCTCTTCATGATACTCCCGATTCAAGCCAGCTTGAAAGTTTTCGCTTCCCTTTTGTAACACGCTATGTTATAATTCAGTCCTAGACAGACACATGCAATATACATGCATGTACAGCCACCTTAGCAGTGTAACTTTTCAAGTACCCGAAACATGACAACACTTTTTCCCCAGAACCACAGAAAAGTACATGTACCTGTTCCTGACACTCTTATGCCATTCCTAAAAACATGATTTTGATACTTGTAGAAATGATAATAATGATAAAATTATATGTTACACAGTAACAGAAACTTTCGAGATTAAACACAATTTATAACAAACATGTACAGCATTGCACCAATCAATATACAACTTAAAATTTTAAAGTGCTCCAAGACTTTATACAAGATCATACATATATAAGACTCCAGAATCCAGATTATAAATAAATAAATAAATAATTATTATTTCAAGCAATGTGGTCTAGTGGAAAGGTAATAAAAGAAGCTGCAAAAAGATATGCAAAAAAAAAGTCTGAGCCAAAATCTGTTTCAGTGAATTCCTTGTGTTGTACATGTACCTTTCCTCTCCACCCATTTTACATACTTTGTACACTATACAGGTTGATTTCCATACAAACACTTCCCCCTGCTGACATACAGCTTTTCTTTTTCACAATGCTGGTGTACTACCTGTATAACACTCGTAACTTTAAATTTGAAAAAACACTTAGTCTAGTGAATTTGGAATTTAAATTATGGCAAAATCTAATTTAGACAATATCACAGTGACTGCAAATTGCGATAACCAAATACCAAGGAACAACTTGAAATATTTGTGGACTTGTTCTTAAAATGAAAGGGCAAATTCATAGGACCCTTAGAATTTGAAACAAGATTTTTTACAAGTAACAACAGAACCTTTAGGGCTTTTCCTTCCCTTGAAAGACTAGCATATTAAATTGCACTGCTTCTCAAATCTTTTTGATGATCTTAATAAAAACATGAATTTCCAAATTTAAAGTGTAAACCAGCTGTGAAAGTCCCAAGGTCAGAACCCCACAACCAGAATTTGAAACAAGACTTTAAAATGAAACAGGAATTTCTTTTTCATCCTAAAAATGTTCATGCTAATTTTGGAGTTTCTTAGTCTGAAAATGAGTTTTCCAAATTTAAAGTGTAAACCAGCTGTGAAAATCCCAAGGTCACAACTCCACCGCGACCTCTTTGTGCTGTACCACCGGCAGGTCCATGTCGAACGCCAGCGTCCCGCCCAAGGTCGCGCCCTCCAAAGTTCCGTCGTCGTCGTCCATGTCGTCTGCGGGGTTGTCGGACAGGAGCCTTTTGCGGGGGTCGTGGTCGTGCGAGGGGAGGGCCGCCTCCTCAATCATCTCTAAGCGAACAGTTTCCACATGGTTTCTACCAAAGGCCTTACGCCTCCTAGGTAAAAAAAACAAAAGATTCTTTTAGAAAAGTTAATAAAGAAACTTAATATGCAGCAATTTAGACTAAAATTGTACTGAAGCTAAAAAGGCTGGCACAGCTTTAGTTTCAGTTTATTGGGCTGCCCTTCAGCCCCTAAACTGCACTAAGGTTAAAAAATAAAAGTACTTTTACTACAAGATCACAATGTTTTATTTCATAAACTTAAAATTGTAAACATCTTAAGTTACCGTTAAAAGCTACATCGTCAAGATGATAGTAGGATACTGAAATATTGCCAAAGGTACATGTAGCGTCTACCAAAAGAAACATGCTCGACAATTGTTAGAGCATGTTTGAACAACATGCAACATTCACACAACAACAACAACAACACAGGACAGACACCGGACAGGTCATGCAAGACATGCAATTCACAGAGGTACAAAATAACCTGATCCTCTGGTCAGGACAGAGGGAACCAAAGAGCTCAGGAACATGAAGGAAATAAAATTGAAATGTGCTGTTCTTCTATGGTGTAATGTTGACAGACAAAAAATAACAAAGATTTTACTTAAAAATGTCTAAGACCCAAGGTGTGGTGCAACTATTTTTCATCTTTGTATCATTGCTATAAATTGTTTTTACTCATGTTCTGACATAAAACTTATTAAAAGAGCGCAAAATAAACTATTGACAACAACTACCAACACAACATCACCTTAATATGTAGATGTCCGAGAACTATGGAAATAATTTTGTGTAGTGCAACTTTGAAAAAAATTCTTATACCATTGCTATAACTTCACTCATATGGACACAAGGGTGCAAAAAAAACAACAACAACGACATCTTCAAGATCACTATGACCACTACTATCACATCACCTTATGTAGAGTTCTGACTGTTGGAAGGAGCTAGTTTTGTGTGGTGCAACTATTTCTAATCTTTGTACCAAAGGCATAAAAAAACACAATATGTGGGCACACAAAGGGTGCAAAATAAACAAAAACAACGACGACATCCTTATGATCACCACATCACCTTATGTAGAGTTCAGACCGTCGGAAGGAGCTAGTTTGTAATGCTATAAGGAGGTGATCTTAGACGTGACTATGAGTCTTTCCTTCATGTCGGTCTGAGAGCGATAGGTCGACTGTGGCCTCATGTTGTGCAGGGACATGGTACGGGAGGTCTTGAGCTTCGCTTGCCGGCCTCTGTGGATTGCACTGTCCAGCGGAGGAAGGGTTTGAGGCAGCAGGGAGGGGGATAGGACACACCCAGAGAATTGTTGTGGTTAGATGGGTTAGTACAGGTTAGTGAAGGAGACATTGGAAAAGCTAGTAAGCATAGGGCTACAAAAATTGGCACTTCATCATCAATACAGATTGTTGTTTTGTGTTTTTTTATGTACAGAATTTTTGCCAAGCAAACTTTTTACCAAACATAGAAAACTTAAAAAATTTCTGGGCCAAACCAAATTGTAGACACAGAAGAGCACTTCAATAAAGAGTCAAGACAGTTATTGTTTTTGTGTACCAAACAAAATTTGTGCCAAATGATGGCTGTCATCATACACTGCCCCTGGTTCAAATTACTAAGTAATACGTGCTAGCTCATGTTCTGAAACAGTTAGGTATAATATACGAAATGCCAGTTTTTGCACCAAGTTGCTGCTACTAAACACATATCTGACACTGCTTCACAGACACACAATAAGCATAAAGCAGTGGTTTCCTCTACAACACTGGTGGCTTCTGAATCAAGCAAAGACTTTCTAAAGCTGCCCAAACTTTTCACACCAGCCTTGTAATAAGAAAGCACACATCTGCAATTATCACACTTAATTTGTTATAGCACAGTCAGTAGAAGCTGGAAAATTAGCTACTCACTACTGTATTAAGCAAGCAGAGGCAGGCATCACAAACTATAGGTACATTGTACATACATTTGGAACAGAAAATCTCATAGAAAAATTCATATCCAGTCACAATCATGTTAACATTGGAGGCTATGACGACTGGTTTTCATACAATGTACTACATTTTTGTACATTGTAAGTGATAACTTTTAAGAATCCTAAGCTCCTAACACAGACTTGGAGTTACCTTTGTACAAGAAAGCAGACGAGAATGCAGACACCAGACAGCACATCTGTAGTGATCCACAACACTCTGTAGTGAAATGGGTTCTGAAAAACACAAAAAGCCAAGACTGAAGACTAGGCAAACTCCTTAAAGATTCTATATGATTGTACAGTAACTGGTAGGTTCTTTAACACTGGCAATTCATACTTCTCCTGTTGTGTATCTTTGAAGGAACAGACCATAAGGTTTGTGTTTTTTTTTGCCCCGGGTGTCTCCAGGTAGCTTCAGCACTTTTCAATTCTGGTGTTACTTTCTGAGCTTCTTGAATACAGGAATAAAAGACTTGCTGACATTGATACCTGTCAATGTTCTGTCGCTTCAGTTTTTGTTGTTGTATAGTAACATTTTATAATCACAAGGTATATGGTCTTTACTTTGAAAATCTTGGCATCTTGTTGTTTTTATTCACACTCTTGCAGTCCACAAGATTTAGTTCATGCGATCAAAGAAAAACATGCATCCTGCCTAGCCTCTATCAGCCTTCGGGAGGCGGCTGGAAAGAGTAGAAATCAGCTCAATAGAGAGATAACATGCCAGGGGAGTTGGTCTGCTGGAGAGTACAGTTTGCCGCTCCCGGTGCAGCAAAATGATCTCTCCCAGCAGACAAACTCCCCTGGCATGTTATCTCTCTATTGGGCCGATTTCCACTCTTTCCAGCCACCTACAGGAGCCTGGTAGCCTGCCATCGATGGCTGAGATTTGACTCACCATTCGCCAGCTGGGACTATTGAGATTTCTGACGAGGTTGACTCCGTTGGAGGTGACAGTGTCGGCGCCCGAGCACCACAGGTACGAGAACAGCCAGGAGGAGTGCACGATGTACGTAACCGTGGTGATGTTGTTTTTGCTATAAAGACTGGAAATATAAAAGGAAGTGAGTAAGTTGTACAGTAAATAGAATACACAATGTCCTTGGTTTAACAGTCACACATTGCTGCAGTATTTGTGATCACACGATGTACGTAACCGTGGTGATGTTGTTTTTGCTATAAAGACTGGGAATACAAAACAAAAATACATGTACATATTAGTGCAGTCTTTAGAATTGCCCAATGTTGGTAATCATGAATATTGGAAATCAAAGAAAGTCATGATATAATTTTAATCGTCAGAGCCAATGCCACCTTAAATAAAAATCAATTCATTCAGTTTTTTTACACTAGATGGTAGACTTCATCCCCCTTCCCCCTTGAATCTTTGCAACTCTTCCAGTCCCACAGACAAAAATAGCAGAACTCAATTAGTGCATTGTGTATATTTTCAAGCAACCACACACACACACACACGCACGCGCGCGTGCGCACACACACACACACACACAAACACATGCACGCGCCCATACACACACGCGCGCGCACACACACACACACACACACAGACACACAGACAAACAACCTGAAAAACACATGTTCTTGATAGTATGCTCTTTGTATACCTGTAATCTCCTTGGCTGTATTGTCTGTAGTCCAAGTTCTCTACAGTCAAGGAGAGTTTTTTCATGTCAACAGGACTGATCTTGTTGCCAGTCCCCTGCTTAAGAAAAGGTGCCCTTTTCCTAATGGTGAACCTGTCTGAATCTTGTAGCCACACAACCTGAAAAATAACAAGTCTTACAACGTTTACAATTCAATACCAGCTCAGAAAAAGACAAATCAACAGTCATGATCATGACTTACAGAGTTACATGTACTACATTTTGTACCTCAAAATTGAAGTCTTTAAACTCTAGAAGAATTGTTTTTTTCTATTTTATTTCTATATTTTCTATTTCTATTCTATTCTATTTTCTATTTCTATTGTAGAGTGGAACTTAAGGTACTTTAACAACATGTACTACATATATAAATTAAATACATTTTGTAACTCAGGATTGAAGTCTTTAAAACTCTAGAACAATGTTGTTTTTCTAGTCAAATGTAGAGCCACTGTGGAACTTAAAATACTATAATAACACGTACATATGATAGCACACTCATATTTGTAAACTCAGGTGATCTAATAGATATATCAACCTGTTTTGTCTTCCCCATCATTGTAAAATTAAAAGTAAATAAATAAACAAAAATCCTTACACTGCTCTGAGGTAGTCCGGATTGCAGCACAAAATTCAGGGTGTAGTTTGCAAAGTTCTTGTGGAATGGATGACCCCTGGGCGGGGGGTATAGGTCAAAGATCACCCTGATGTTGTATGTATTGGCAAGTTGTAGAAAATCTTTGAAGGTTCCGACAGACTGGTTGGCGATCAGGGCTCTTCTCCTGGCCGACATGCCTCCCACCGTGCCAAACGGGTCCGACTGGGGGGAGAGGGGGAGAAAGGAGTTTAAGAGGAATTAGAAGGCTCAAAATAAATGACTTTTCCTTGAGAAACAATGTCCACTAATCTCAACTTGAAGCAGATCTGTAACGTTGGTGGCTGCAAGGCACTATCAAATTAGCAGGGCAGTATCCATTTGCACCTTGGTACATGTACATGTAAAAAAAAGCCAAAGCCTAAACTTCTGCTTGGAGAGTGCATTGTGGCATCAAATGGCCGAGTTTCTAGGATCATAGCACACACAAGATCGCAGGTCACAGGTTCAATTCCTTGCATTCCTGGCTTGATATTGTGTCCTTGGGAAAGACACTTTAAATGGCTTATCTCACACCACCCAGGTGTAAAATGGAGGGCCTGTCTTCGGTTAGGAAGGTAAAAGGCAGTGAAGGAGAGGGATGTGTCTAGGACACCTTCCAATGCTGTGTCCTAGACACAGTGGATTAACAACCCACTGCCTAAAATGGCTATGGGATCTTAATCAACTTTACCTACCTAGAGAAACCATTTGCTGGTAATTTTGTTGTGCTTACGTGTCATGATTGTTTTTTTTTTTAAGGTAAATAAAGAAATGTACCTGGAGAAACCATTTGCCGGCGTTTAACCTCTTGAGCTCTGATATGTTGAAGGTGGCTGCGTTGTCGTTAACCCTGTTGGGAAAGACGTCGGCGATGTTGGTGGTTCTCCTCAGGTCACCATCGTGCATCAGGAATGGCACTCCGTCAATACTGAGGAAAAAAAGAAACATGAAAATCATTATAAATTATAATAATGATTCCAAATGTGAGACATTCATGAAGATAATGATACTCTAACTTATGATGTTATCAATGATATTCTGTAGTTAAAAATGTAGGATAGTATTGTTGTTTTTATACAATGTATCCTATATTGATTGTAAAGTAATAAAGTTCATTCACTCATTCATCCAAGGAAGTAGCTACCAAAGGAAGAACTACAACACCAGTGTATTCAAATGTCATTTAGTTTCTCTTCTTAGAAGGGTTTGTTGATATGTGAATGGGATATTATATATAACTCTCTGAAATGACACTACATCAATGCTACAGTACAGAGCATTCTTTTATAAAACTAATTAAAAATCACTTGAAAAAGTTCTTGAAATTACCTTATTTGGACGTCTGTCTCTATCATGGTGGCATTGTTGTCTATTGCAGTTTGGAAGGACAGTAATGTGTTCTCAGGGGCAAGCTGGGAAGAAAACGAAGAAGAAGAGTCATTCAAGGGATATCATTAATTTACCAGTAAGTCATTTACATGCACAGATGTAATAGGCAAGTTTGACGCCCACCATATTGCATGCAATCTACTCTCAATATCCTAATTATTCAATCCATAAATTCTTTGTAGTACTTTCTTTCCTTCCTGATGATTCAACCCTTAGCACACTGAATTTGGCTACCGTTTTTCTATTGGTTATGGGTTTAAGGCTAGCCTGGGTGCCAGACTGTTTCCAGGGCCTACACAGGCCAGGACCTCCAGGGCCAACATGCCCCCAAGGAAATTATACCACAGTCCCCCTAACTTAAGCCCTGATCCACACGCTGGCAAACTCTGGGCCTAGAGTGCTATGGGTCTGACATCCAGACTAGGGTTAGGCGGCAGGGAGAAGATTAACCTTTAGCACACTGAAGCAACCGTTTGGCTACCAATTCTCTGTTGGTTACAGGGTTAGGCAGCAATTGCAAGGAGAAGGTACACATGTTGTAAAGAAAGTTGACTGACCATGGGAGCTCCCCTGTGTCCCCCGATGTTGGGTTTTTTGGGCAGCTGGTCCACAGTGATGAAACACGGGGAAGTGATGAACAACGGTGCAACATACAGGCCCCCCATCACACCCAGGTAAAAAACAAACCAAAATATCTGTAGAGCTACAGGGAAAAAGAGAACAAAGATTTGTTTGATACATGTAGGACATAATAGTTGAGGTTTTCAAAGCAAAAAGTATGTTCAGAGCGTATGACTGCAAATGCGTAATACTAGTACTTTGTATGATATGTACAGGACTGATTTGCATTTTATTACTGTCTATACCAACATAAGACAGAAATTTCCTTGTTGACTTTTTGGCCAATTTTCAGCCTTGCTCTGAATGCATGACCCACTATACCTCTGATATGTGACCTGATTTGACCCCCCAAGTGTGTCAAATGTGCCTGGGAGTCTGCAAAATTTTTGTTGTACTGTCTATCATATAAAACACGGGATTAACTACAATAGCGTGATGGAAGAAGCTAATAATTGACCAATAAATGGCTCAAAATATTCACTGTTAGTGCTGCTATGTAGTTTTCCTCTCACCTAGAGTCCTAACTTGTGCCCACTGCCCTGCTATGTGCTTACCTAGAGTCCTAACTTGTGCCCACTGCCCTGCTATGACCCAAGAGGACACTGTCATCAGGCCTACTGCACCCAGGTGCAGCCACGGGCCTGTCATCTGGAACGGAAAAGACAAAATATAGTCATTTAGTTCCAATTAAAGCACCCGGTGTATTCTTTGTGTTTTTCTGCCATTGTGTTTCTGTTGGTGGGAAATATGGGACCGAATGAAACAGAAATTCTCCTTATCAAATCTTGATATCAAAATTGCCCAAATTTGCTCATAAACATAATCTTAGTGGCATCAAATAGGAGAGCAAAATTCCTAACATGGGAGAGAGTGTCCAGGCCCATGCTTTATCCACTAAGAAACATGGACATGATCAGGCACAGTTCTTAATAGCCCACGTGTACACAGAATCATATATGGGACAAATCTGCAATCTTGGATATGTGGAGACTATCCAGAACTGTGCCTGATCCTAGCCCTAACTGGACAAGCACGGTTGTGGATAGAATAGGGTGCATGTAATGTTAGGTACTAACCTGTAGGGATAGCCATGCCAGCCTGAAGCCATCCAGCCATAACTGCTGCATCAGCACAACAGACGCAGTACAGCCGCACAGGAGCAACACCACCAGGATCTGGGGGGGGGGAGAAAATAAGTAAGAAAAAACTGGAAGGCAAATACCTAAATTTTTGCAATTTTCACCTATTAGGTCTCCAGATGATGACATTCATGAAGCCAATCCATACTTAAAGTCAATCTATACTTTTTACTGGAAACCATTTCTTACCTTGTGGAGCCAGTGGAGGTACACAGGAATTTCAAAACACACGTGGATGGCAGCTAATAACTGTAACAGATAAGGAAGCAGCAAGGTTATGGATGTTTCTCACCACTATAGAATGTGACACTGCAAGACATTGTGAGCCCATTTTAAAAATGCTAAAAATGCTTGCCAAAAGCTTGAGGTTGTGTGATTACTCTAGAATAATAAAAATGAGCTCCTAAGACTAGACCACCAAAGTCAAAGTACCGTTAGAAACAAAAGTGACTCACAAGTAGGAAGACAGCGTATCCAAAGGCAGTGGAAGTGGCTGCCAGGATGACCCAGTACCAGTTCACCCACTTCCCTGTCTGCTGGTAGATCCACCTGCAAATACAGACAACAAAAACATCACATACATGTATGTTACGAGGTCATTTAAGCACTGAACATTTAGTTACATGTAGGTGGTACAGGTTGTGTTATGTACATTATTTTGCCACTTTGAGTGTGTTTGAGAGATCTCTAGTTTAGCACCTGCCAGATATGCACAGTTTAGATATGAAGGAGTGCGTTATACAGGGTATAGCAGATTGCATTAGACACAGGCGCGTTTAGGGTGACAAATGTATAATTATGACCTATTGGAAGAACTATGTTGACATGTAATCTTTGACCTGGTATTACTCAAATTGGTGTGTACATTTTGTACATGTTTTTCTAGCTTTTTCTCATCTCAGGAATGAAACTGACCAGTTGAAGTCGTCTGCGTCGTTCCAGACCACCAGCCAGAAGTACATCCAGAAGGAGGCGAACCCCACAGCCAGCAGCATCACCACAAACCAGATACGCTCCACCTGGGGGCACAGTGTATAACATAAGTCTACCTTACATCAGCTTTAGAGACAATGTAGTTACTTCAAGAGAAGGTCTCTTGCTCTACATAGATGAATCCTCACGGCCAGCAGCATCACCACGAACCAGATACGCTCCAACTGGGGGGGGGGGCACAGGGTAAAATTTACATGTATCTTATACCAACTCAGAAAAGAGCAAAAAAGAGTTATACCTCCAAATAAAAGGGCCGTTGGCCAAAGATTAAAAGAACTTGTTTTTTCCTACAGCTATCCACTGCTTAACTTACAGCAGTGGATTAAAGCTCAATGCAGTGCAGTATGAGCATTCTCACTTGATACATGTAGCTACAAAAAGTTGGTGCTTAGTAGCTAGAAGATATAATTTAAGTCACTTAAAGAGAAAGAATACTTAGGTCTCTTGCTCCATACAGAGACTCTCATACTGCAACTGAAGACAACAAAATTGATATTACATATTTGGTAGCCTTATATATGCTGGAAATCAGTCAGTGCAGATGATGATACTTTCAGCGAACACTCACCCATCTCTTCTCATTGGGGTCGACCTGTTGTCGCCATCGGCAGCCGTACAGCCCCAGCACGCAGGTGAAGCAGAACGTCTGGTGCCGCAGGGGGCCGCCCGATACCATGGTGGTATCCTCTCCCTCCCCCTGCCCACCCCCTCGAGACCTGTGGGTTTCAAAAACAAAGTGACAGTACATGTTTAGAGTTAAAACTTTAGATCCAACACAAAAAGTTCTCTCACTTACAGCTTTCAATCAGTCACTCTGGTCTTCCTCAGTAGACTGATCCAGTGAGGCTTGTCATGTGGCTTCTTTGAAGTGTGACGTCAACACTGGGCCGGCCCCCGTCAGTCTACTAAGGAAGGCCAGAGTGACTGGTCGAAACCTCTGGGTGAGATACCTTTTGGGTTGGAAGTTTTAACTCTAAACATGTAACTACCAACACAGACGAACTTTCATGATAGTATAAAAAGTAACAGTATGTTGACAAGAAATGGTGTCTCAATGGTTTCAAACAAAGTTATCACATTGGAATTTCAAGCAAGGAATACTTAGAACAAGAGAGACTATGAAATACATCATACATCAGTTTTGTGATAACTGACCGATGAATGTAATGTGATTTTATGTTGGCTGTATGTCAATTTAATCCTATGTCTTTTATGTACATGAGTCTGGAAGACTAAGTGTTACTTAGTCATAGGTTACAGCTAAAGGAGAGATTGAACTCTGATAAACTCCAATCCAATGCATACCTTGAGGCAGAAATGGTCACCTGCAGTCGATGGTACATAGAGAGAAAATGGTGGTGGACTCAGCACAGGTCCTCACTGAAACACACAAAAGGAGAAACGGATCATAAGTTTTATGTATGTACATTGGTATTGTACAGAATGGATATTAGCAAAGCTACAATGTACATGCCTTCAAGTACAAGAGTTATCAACCAAGGATAGAGATGTTCAAGAATTCATTCTTTCCTAGAACTATCGCAGAGTGGAACTCACTGTCACCAAGTACAGTAGGGGCATTATCATTAGATAGCTTTAAACAATGTTTAGAGTTAGATGTTCAAGGGTTAGGTGTAACAAGTCGATCGGTGTAATGCAGCCAGCTGCCACCGTGCCACGATTATACCGACTATACAGATACATGTAGGTGTCTGGGGTCAGTGATCAACAGGAAAAATTTCGAAAACATTATTATCTATCAATTGTTGATGAGTGAACAGACTGTACTCAAAACAAGTCAAATGTTTTACAGTACACTATTACTCAAAGTTGCCTATAATTGACTGCAACTTAATTACAAGTCCCAGGGTGTACCCCAAAACTAGCAGAACACAAAAACGTAGATATCATCTGGTCTGTGCCAAGCAATGAATCCCGTAAGTTCAGCCAATCCCGACCGTGGCAATGGATTATTACCGCATGTGTTACAGTACCTGCCAGAGATCTACACAGGAGCAGTGCAAACCCAGCAAGATAAGATCTAATACTGCTACGGGCTGCTTTAATCACATCCCTGCTCAACATGAATTTCTTCCTATAGGCGCTCAGTTTTCTACAGGCTTAGTTAGGCCTAGGAAAAAAATGTTGTGTTTTCTGTTTCAGTTCTGAAAAAATTAGGGTCGGTAGGTAGGGATATCTAAAACTTGGCTGATATCTATAGTGGTGATCCAACTTATACAAAACAGTTTAACAAAGTAAAACTTGCATGAGGACACTTTTATTTTCAATGTCAGTGTTAGAAACCAAATTGTACAATGTTTCATCACTCAGTTGTCAGATCACGTAGCTAGAAAAGGTTAATCAGCACAAAAAATTAAAATTTATGTCCCTTGCACATTTATGTCCACCCTCCAAAAAGACTAGGGTCGGCAAGTTTTTCTAGGGTCGGTCGGGAAACAGGAAACACAACTTTTTTTTTTCCTAGGCTCTACAATCGTTCAGTTCTCTGCAAGCTTAGTTTAATCAGTATGCTGGGGTAGTCCAAGGCCTTGGCATTGTAAACTATCCGCAGTAGTGATAGATAACGTCTTTCCAACCTCCTGCCTGGGAGAGGCCTGATTATCATTTAGGGGGGAAAATTATGGTAAAAAGACTCGGGAGTATCTGAAGTGAAAACCCAAAGCCATGTACTGAACTAATGTTAATGTTACAACCATTCTGGGTGTTATTTTTTCAGAAATAAACTGTGTTAAAGTGTCAATCTTTAGGCAATATCTGGACAGAGTCAAGAAAGTCTGCAGGGCTAAAGATAGATACCAGCTACAGATGTCTACTATACATGACATGTCGATGAAGGTTCGACATCCAGGTAATGAGATACACAAGGAAGATAGTGTTACTCAAGCAAATGGACAGATTTTGAAAACTGTCAGATGTCTCAAGTAGCATCCACTACTTCTTAACTACTCGATTTCCAGGGGACTGTTCTAGTGCAGCCAGTCAAAGTCAGTACAGAGCTTGATAGAGATGTATCGCGTCTTCATACTGACATGCTACCAGCCGTAACTAAACATATCTGTACAGCCAGTATACCCTTCAGGAAAACACACTAGCTTTCAGTATACTGTGAATGATGAAACTATTTGGTATCTCTCTAGTTTATACCAGGAAAGTATTTTCTTACAGCCTAGGCAGACAGCACCACAAAGCCGGTACAGAAGATGATCGAAACTTATGGTGTCCTTATACGGACATGCTATCAGCTGTAACATCCTCCACCTAGTGTCTCCAAACCTCACCCAAGATTTACGACCCAATATCTCAGCAGGGCTGGGGTGGAGATGGCAGTAAGTAATGTGTCTATAGTCAGCTTTGGCTTTAACCGAGAAGCTAATATTCCACATGTCAGGACAAGATGTGATGTGTAAGGAATGGGTGGGGGTATGTATACCAGGAAAATTTCTCTGGTGCTTTTGACACGCTTGAAGCAAGTATTCAGTAACCAACAGGTGAATGCCCTGCTACAATATATAAGGGCATTAACCCTGTGGTAAGAGCTGGGAATCAAACTCACAACCTTTTGGTCCAGAATCTTCTGATTCTAAGTCAACTCTAACCACAAGCTAGGCTACTTTGCCACTTGATAAACTGCTTCATAAATTGTTGACTTTATCACTGAATATGCCATAAGACTAAGAACAGAAGTTTATAAAACTAGTCTGGTAAGGCAGCTAACACTGAAGATATTTCATTCCTACGTTATCAGTAAACTATACCTGCAGTGCACCTCTGTAAGGTGGCCTAAGGCCTAGCCTAACCCACCTACCATAGTGAGATACACACATGTAATAAATACAGCTAACTGAGCCAGAAAACCTCAACATTCCTCACAATCTGACAGGACAATATTGAAAGCTCTTCCCTAATCCGACATTTAAGTATCACGTTTGCCAGAATCGATGTTAGTGGTAGGATCTCTGCCCAGAGGATACTGATATCATCGGTAAGACCAGGAGCACTAGAGCCATGGAGAATAAAACCAGATTATGTGGGATTCAAGTTGGAGTTTGATGAATGGTGTTCAGAGGGTTTTCGATTAAGCTGACATGCCCTGCAGACAAACTGTTATAAGTTCTGCAACTTGTTCCTTGCCCATATACTATACACTGTTTTTGTGCAATCACAAAAGCTGTCTACTTTACATACAGTCTGTATTAAGCTGTACATGTGCATTGGAGAAGTACATGTAGATATTGCTACAAGGTGTGGTTTTGATAATTTAGACTCTAAAGAATGGGAGGCAAAGTAAAAATATCACAGCACTTTGTATTGATTCTTAGTTGCAAACACTGTTAGTATGCTACAAATACATTTGCATTGCTAAAATTGCTACTGGTATACCAAGACATTAACTTTTACACATCGGTAATTGATAATATAGATCAAATGATTTGATTCCTACCATTTGCTGCAAAAGTTTGAAGCCTTCAATATTAAGATTCTGCAAGACATAAAGCTACAAAATTTGCTACACTTGGTTTCTAAAATCTTACAAGCTACTTCAAAACTTCAATGCATACAGTGTCCTTGGATTGCTAAATTGCTTTTGCTGCATGTACTTATAGGGAATACGAAGGTTGCCAGGCTTTACACCTTGTATCCAGGAGCTATCTGTTTCCTAAATTGCAACACTGAGGTGCTAACATCTTGGGAGGTGTGAATGAAAAGTTGAGACAAGTTAAGGATAGGGAATTAACACCTAGTAATGTAATAGGTACCTATATTTCTTTCTCATCGTCTTAAGTCAAATTGGGAAGAGTGAAGATGAAGGAAAGACTGTTTGTAATCACAATGCATATTTCAGCACCAAGGACAGTACACATATTCCACAAGCAGAGCTGCTGCTTTCTTAGACTGTCTAGTACCTTCCAAGTGAAGCACAGAATAGAGAAAGAAAAATTTCTACCAACAACAACCTACACATTGAAGTGACCAGAAGTTACCAGAAGTAACTTGCTGGAAGCCATCTTCAATGCCAATATACAAGAATTAATTTCCCTTCCTATGGACTGCCACCCTTTCCATTAGCAAGTAAACCAGAAAACCGTACCTTAACCCTCTGGTCAACAGGCAAAGTCACTTGCCACTTAACTACATAAAAACTTAGGAAGTTATGTTCTAACTTATATTTGTCATTTGATCATTATTTATCATCATCACTATTTATAGGGAAGAATGTTCTTGAGATTAACATACTTATAGTGTTACCTATTTTTGTCATTACATCATTATTCAAAGTCAAGAATGCCCTTAACAATAACATACCGCACTTTTCTATATAAGTTTTTTTTGCTTTAATGTACTAGGACTCCCAACATGGTACCCTGGCCATAAGAAAGATGCCTTCCCAAATACAGAATGACCGGTGTTCTCTGGTCAATTACAGGCCTAAAGGTCACATCCAAGACCGACCGCCTGATCTTTCACCTTCCATGAAGTTTCTAGGAATTTTTCCAAGACGCCATGACCTTGAGAAACCCTCAGGACCTTCTCCGTACTCCTCCAAGACGCAGGTAAGTGCCGGCTAGGTTTGCGAGTCGTTAATCTTCATACAGACAGCCCTACAGGGTACTGATGACTGGGCTGTGGTCTCCATGCCTAATCAGCATCTGGTCATCAATCATGTGAAACTTAGCCTTCCTGGTAGATGTTCTCAACTCAGGGCTTGAAATATATATATACAATGTATATGCACTGGTGCAGGTAACATTTATAGTTGCCTGGTTCACGTAAGTTTTACCTCCACCACAGTTTCTTTTGCTTTTGTTGGTCATCATCCAAAAATTGAAATGTTATAAGGGATGTTTCTTGGAGCACCGTTTCTAATTTTACTAAGTTCTTCTATAAGGGAATACAGGAACTTGTGCAGAGTGGATTGTGAACTATTAATGCATACCGGAGAAGTCCCAGTACTTCAAAAACTTACTTAAGGTACTTAAAGAGCTACCAGTTATAAAGTGGATCTACAATGCACTGAAACGACTTAGAGTTAACAATATAACCACCCCTCTAGTGCCAATCCTCGTTACACTGAAGTCATCTTGCTAATAGAAACATTGGGTAGATGGTTGGTTGTCTGAAATGTTGCCTCTCTGAATGTCTTAAATGGAAGGGACATTTTCTTACCTTGGTTGATATCTTGAGTAATTAAGTCAACTACTGCTCCTCTCAGATTGAACTTTGATTTAAACTGCCAGAATCTTAAATCTAAAAGAAAAATGGTTTAAAACTTAAAATAGACTACTTTACAGCCCCTACAAACATTGTAAAGAAAAGGGACCTTTACATAATGTCACCTTGATGGTGGCCTCGAGTAATTA